ACATTCAAATGTCTTACCGATAAGTTTAGAATAGTTGCTACTTCTTGCTGCCTAGGTCCAATAGGCATAATGTCAACACTCTAATGGACCAGTGTGATATTCTGGGAAGAGGGAAGGTGCCCAGTATCTCTGTGAACTAAATTAGGGCATAGGGCTGGAGAGTTTGCATACCTCTGAGGTAATACAGTGTAGGTGTATTGCTGGCCTTGCCTGCTGAAAGCCAACTACTGTTGGTGGTCTTTATTAACAGGAATGGGGGGAAAAAAAGGATTTGCAAGATCAGTAGCTGTATACTAGCTACCATAGGATGTGTTCATTAGCTTGAGCAATGAAACCACATCCGGTATAGCAACTGTGATTAGAGTCAGAGCTGGTTAAGCTTAGAAGAATACACTGTCATTCTCCAAGATCCATCCGTCTTCTGCACAGACCCAACAGGTGAGTTAGATGGGGATGAGATGGGAACCACCACCCCTGCCTCCTTCAGTCCTAATGGTAGCACTAATCTGTCTAGTCCCTGTAGGAGTTCAGTGTTGCTTTTGGCTTAGTATTTTCCTGGTCATAGCCCTCACTCCACAGGTCAGGAAACCAAGGAAGGGATGCCGTAGTTGCTGAGTATGTCTATTCCAATAATGCATGCCAGAACTGGGGAGATAACCCCCAGGATGGGTTCAGAGACCCACTAAGTCCACTGAGAAACACACCTGTGCTAAAACCCCACTGATCATCTGACCTCCATGAGCCCCTACTCTGACTGGTGGGCCATAGTCACCTTTTGGGTCTCCTGGGATTAGTGTCAACTCAGAGCTCATGTCTAGTAGTCCCCTAAAGGTCTGATTATTTCCTTTTCCCCAATGCATAATTAGCCAAGGAAAGGCCATAGGCTCCTCTGAGGAAAGCTGGAAGAAAGAGTAACAGCATAAATTTTTGGCAGTGTACCAAGGGATTTTGGATATGTAAATTCTCATTCAAGGGATTCTGGATATGTAAACTGGCTCAGGTCTGGGAATTGATTGAGGGGCTGTGACTCTATTTTTATGATGCAGGTTAGATCTTTGCTTGACTTGCCACTCTTTTGTTTATACAAATCAAGTAAAAATGCAGTAGGCTTCCTATCCCTTAACTTCAAGGAACACCACAATTAACTAGCCAAACCCAGAGGTGTATGGGAGCCAGATGATCCTGAGGGTTGCTTTGACTCTGCTGCCCATTACGGTAACCACTCCCATCTTGCCTTTGGCAACATTCCACTTGGCCCCTGCATCTCCAACACCCCATTGTGTTTAGGTGTCCCAATTCACTGACCACAATTTGCACTGTAAGATCTTGCCTACAGAGAAGAGCAATCACAGGACTACCCTCAAGAATTTATTTCTCACAGTCATGATGAAAGGTATGTTTTCTGGATCTTCCCAGTGTGGGTGAGTAGGTCTTAAATGACAAATTCACTCTAACATTCCAATCCTCGGCAGCTTCTGAAATTCCCTTCTTTACACTAAACTAAGGCAGGTCAGCATTTCTAACTTGTGTGTGGTGGGCCAACTTTCTGTCCAGCAGCATCCATATCTGAGAGCCCAAAACCATACCTTCACCATGTTTTAAAAGTGTCCTAGGCCACTGAAAGGAGTGACCCCATAAAGTGGTAGAATAGGGACTAAGCAAGGTCAAGGACCAAATGTCCAGCATGTGGGCCAGTGAGATGTATGCAGCTCCTGTCCATGAGAGGTCCTCTTTCTGCTAACCAACAGGGAGGTCATCAAAGGAGCCTTCTCAGGCCTGTCAGCTGAATGGATACCAGCTGGTCTGGGTCACTGATTCATCCCTTTTGACTTCCTAGCACTAGCTCCCAATGGGGCATGCTGGAGTAGAGGCTGGACAGTCTCTGCGTGTTGACTCAACTCCGTCTGGGTGGTCCTTTCAAATCCTGGCTCCACCTTGTCACTCCTTTCCCCTCCCCACTCCTACCATCTGACCAATTTATGTTGTCTTCATGTAGTAAGACCATAAAATAAGCACTCTACCTGTCATGTAGATTTTCAAACCTTCTTTTCCCCACACCTTAACCTTGGCTTTTGAAATTCAATAACTAAGGATTTGATGACTTTTTTCTCTGGTTCTCGGTGCCAACTCACCATGAAGCTGTAAGTACCTCAAGTATAGCTCTCAGCAAGGGTGATCGCTCACCAAATACCAGAAAAGCAGCATCTGTTCACATACCAAAATAATATCTTATTGAAGTAGAAGAACAAGGCCAAAGATGGAGCCCTGGGAGACATCAGCATTTAAAGAGAAGGTGTAGAAATGAAGAGAATGGACTCCTAGAACACCAGAGAGTTAATATTTTCAGGAACAAGGTGTAAAGTAAGACAGATTTTTAAATGCCTATTGGCTTAAATTATCAGGTCCCTACCAACCTTTATACCTAGGGAGGCTGCAGAGGTATGGCATCAGAGAGATTTGAGTTTCAATCTTAGCTCCGTTACCTACTCAGGATAGGTGTGGCCCTGGACAAGTTAGGCTCTCATCCACCTGTTCCTCTTTAAAATGACATCTAAAATGCTTTAGTGGGGCGCCTGGGTGGCTTAGTCGGTCGAGTGTCTGCCTTTGGCTTGGGTCATAATGTTAGGGTCCTGGGATCAAGCCCTGCATCGGGCTCTCTGCTCCCTGGGGAGCCTGCTTTGTGCGCACTCTCTCTCTCTCTCTCTCTCTCAAATAAATGAATAAAATCTTAAAAAAAAAAGAGATATAGAAGTGTGAAGAACAAAGGACAGCGTTGTTAGCATATGGTGGATCTCATACTCTGCCCATCACCCCTACCCCTTCACACACGCCTCCAGCTTCCCTCAGGCCACTTGCCTCCCCCCTCCGTTGTTTCTCAGCAGGCTTATCCGTCCTTCCCCCCACCCCATCCCCAGGACCTACTCAAATGGACTGCACTCTCCCAGGCCAATCACCAATAATGTGGTCCATGTGGTGCAGAGAGAGCCAATTAGTCCAAATGCATTTTCCTGTTAGTGAACAAAACAGAGCTAACTGGCTATTTAAAGTCATGTAGGAACCTCCGCACACAAAGCCCAATTATTTGGCTGAATTTTTCACTTTCCAATTGCTTATGTTGGTGCTGTGTAGACAAAACCTAAGCTAATTACTCTGTAGGTTTCTGGCTCTAACAGTAGCAACAGAATGTGGAAGTCACATATTTGAAGATGCAGCCAAATGGGGTTCCCGGGAAGAGGAAATAAGCAATGGCTTTTCCCTAAATTTGGGTCCGTATTTATTTCTAGTAAAAGCTCATAATGAAAATTGCTATGTGCACTTGCTGACAAACACATTGAGATGAACAGAGCATCATTACTTGGCACAATACAGTTTTTGCTCCATAGCTCTTGTTTGTATAGTATTTTCATCATTTACCAGAACTTTGTTTTTCTAATCACTAGATTGATAGAAGTAAATGTGGAGTATCAGGAAGAAAGAAAAAGCTTGAAAACAAATAGCCAAGTACTGCATTTTTATCAACCCCATTGCTTAATTGATAATCAGTGCATTTCCATTCAGTTTAAAACCAATTATTGTGATTTAGCTCTACCAAAGAAAACTCTCCTTTTTAGCTACATGAGGTATGATAGGTAATTTTTAACACGTCAGTTTAAATAGATTTTATTAGGCAGATTATGTATAATCAAGTATCAATTCTATTTGAGCAATTGTCAAGGAGCCTCAAAACTGTTGTCAGGAGAATTTTGTGCTGTGATACATGGAGTAGTTTTATCCCCGTCAACGTCTCCCTGGTTTAAAATGTCTTTAGCACTGATGAACTTATCAATCTTCATCTCGTTTCTCTTCGGTCTGTTTTCTGACTCCCCTCAGTGGCGCTGACTTTGCTTCCTGAAGGGTCACCAGCCACATCTCCTCTGTCATTCTTGACAGAAGGCAAAGAGGATTTAAACAGCCTCTCATCCCAATACTGAATTCCAGGCCCCTGAGGCTCTCCTAAATTAAAGTTCTGGCTTCGAGGAGATAGGAGAGGGCTTTTCTCTAAACCTGGGCCCATGTATATGAACTCCGGCCCGGGCTCCTGAGAAATTTTTTTCTCTCCTCCTTTTTCTTGTATTGTTATTATCATGACCGTGGTGGGTTTATTAAAGGTGTGCAATGTTTCAGGTACTATTGAGTAAATACCCACATTAAGATTGTAAGTGGGGGTTCCAAAAATTCAGCCACATAAAATGTGAGGTGCTTTCTTGCAAGGCTGATAAACTGATCAGAGTCAGCCCACCTCTGAGCCAGGCAGCTGGAGTTCTGGGGCCCGGGAGACAGTTACTAATTGCATTGTGTCTGAAATGTGCATTATTGTGAGGCCTTCTTATGTTTTTACATATATTATTATCTCACTTAATTTTCACAAAGCCCTGTGAGAAGATATGACCATTATTCCCATTTGACAGACGAGGATACTGCAGTATAAAGAAGTCAGGTGCCCCGTCCGGGGACACAGATCACTGTCGTGTTCATCTCTAGCCCAGATGTGGCTCACTCGAGAGCCCTAACTTTTATCGACCAGGCTGTAATTTCCTGTTTTTGTCACTCTCCTTGAAGGCTCAGAGCCTTCCCCTGAATCCAAGCCCAATACACACCAAAGACAGACTTCCCTGGTAACACCAGCAGCCCGAAAGACTCCAGAACACTGCCTGCCCTTCTACCCCAGTGTCACAGTCTGTCTGCCTGGCTGAGACCACAACCTCTTCCAGGAACCACCGGCCTCCAATGCTGAGTGGTTTGAGTCACCCTGGGGTACTGGCACTTAAACCATGTGACCTTAGCTGAGTAACTTGGCCTCTCTGCAAATGAATATTATGGTAGTGATCATGCACTTCTGTCAGGTAGATGACTGAGAATTTATAAGTAAAGGCCCTGCCCTAGTACCTAGGTCCCTAGATGCTCAGACAGTGAGTGGTCCCATCCTCGTTTTTGCCAGTGCAGTTAGCAGCTCTACTCACCCCATTCACTGGGCTTATCTCCCGGCCATCAGTTGCTGGGTATCTTGCCAGCCTCCAGCTTTTTCCTTGACTGTGTTTATTCTCTGCTATTAGAAAAAGTATCATTCAGGTTCTGAAAACCTGAGATACAATAGGCAGTAATTGTTGGGTCTGGTTTCTATTCTCTAAATATAACATTAGCATTTTTTAAATGTTCTGGAGTTTTGGGTTTTGGTTTTGGTTTTGGTTGGTGGGGGAGGAGTAAAAGAGCCTGCATGAAATACTTGACAGCTTTAATGTACGTGATGTAAACGTTAGCAGTCTTGTTCTAACTGACAGACAAGTCTTCTCTCCTTCCGGCCCCCCCCCCCCCACCTGTCTGGCTTCCTCTTTCTACATCTGATTCAGTTGGGACTTCCCAGACTCAAATGAGGCAGGAAGATTCCAAGATGTCAAGGAGTCAGTTCTCCCAGATGGCAGGAAGGGTCCATTTGATCCCCTCTGGATCAAAACCGGGACACTTTTTATTTCAAAAAAATGTACTGTTAAAAAGTTCTTTTATGGGCTCTATTCTTACAGAGATACTGGTATAGTGACATGAATGAACAGATGTTTATAGCTCTGATGTGCCTTGGAAAGCCTTCAGCTTCCAGAATGCATTTCTCTAAGCTCAGAAACAGAGAACTGACTCTGTCCGTAGAGAGCTGGGCTCCGATCTTGTGAGGGAGAGAGCATTGGACTACAGTTCAGGGGACCCGGGGTCCAAACTTAGTTCACGACATACCCGTGTCCGCCAGAGTGAGCCTTGTTTTTCTTACTTGCCTTGTAAGAGATTTGGAACAGAATATCTCTGAGGTCCTCTAGAGCCCTCATTGTTTGTGATTCTGACTTCAGTCCCTCTGGGGGAAGAAGAAAAAGAGGCTCAGGAAAGGAAGACAGAAGTCCAGAATTGGGGGCATTGATACAGAGAGAGCGCATATACTAAACATTCAGTTACTGGAATGTTGCCCTAAGGCAAAGCCTGAGTCTTACAGTGAGGCAGTGTCGTGTATCAAAAAGAGGCTCTGAAGTCAAATCCAGATGTAAATCCTATTTGTACCCCAAATTTGCTTGGTGGTCTTAGGCAAGCTGCTTAGCCTGAGTGTTAGATCTATAATCCATGTAGACTAGATACGCTATTGCTTACTTGATGGGGCTATTGTGAAAATTACATGAGAAACTCAGGTAAGGTTCTCATCAGATGGCTTTCTAGTGTTCAAAATACATGTGGCCCCTTTCCTCCCTTCATTCCTTGTCACAAGAAGTGTAGAACAGGACAACCTGAAAGAACATCCAATGACCAAAACTAGAAGAGTTTGAGCAACAAAATAAATAACTAGGGTGTTGGGTCATAACCCAGAGAACAAAACAAATATCCATAAGCCCATGCCAATACAAATTAATAAATAAAGAATGACAGCTGTTCTTTACAGAAGCATTCAAATCAATTAATACGTAATAATTGTTCAGACAAGATCCTCCAATGGATACCGAATTTAGTAGGCAAATTTGAGGAAAAACAGGATATTTGTGGGGCCTTAAACTAAAAGATTGTATTAACTATAAAATAAAAAATAGTAGCTTTAGGTGTGCCTGGGTGGCTCAGTCAGTTCAGCATCTGCCTTCAGCTCAAGTCATGATCCCAGGGTCCTGGGATTGAGCCTCATGTCGGGCTCCCTGCTCAGCGGGGAGTCTGATTCTCCCTCTCCCTCTGCCTGCTGCTCCCCCTGCTTGTGCTCTCTCTCTCTCTCTGGCAAATAAATAAATAAAATCTTTAAAAAATAAAAAATAGTAGCTTTATAGTGAAGAAACCACCACACACTACCTTAGCCAAGTAAGTAAGGAGAACATTACTAGAATTAAGACATACGGACATCTTGTGCCCTCTGATGTGCTCTAAGATGGAAAACCTTCTGTTATATCCTTCCTCAAACTACATAACCCCAATCTAATCATGAGAAAACATCAGACAAACCCCCATTGTGGAGTTTTCTACAAAATCACTGACTCTTCAAAAGTATCCAGATCATGAATGACAAGGAAAGACTGAGGAACTACCACAGACTGGAGGAGATCAGGGGGTCATGACAGTAAAATGCAACATGGGATCTTCAGTTCAATTGAGGACAAAGGACATTAGATGAAAAACAGAAAATCCAAATAAAGTCTGTAGTTTACGTAATAGTATTATCCCAATGTTACTTTCTTAGTTTTGTTCATTGTGCTATGGTTATACAGTACTATGGTAAGCTGGGTAAAAGTTATATGGAAAATCCATACTATTTTTACAACTCTAAGAATCTTAAAATTCTTTTAAAATAAAAGTATCTTTAAAATGAGAGGGCAATGCTCTTTGTCAGTACAACTCAAAGTACAGGAGAGTCAACATTTAGTAACTCTTTTAGCAGTAATTTTAAGTCTATTGGATTGAATTCTTTTTTAGTTGGGGCTTCTTTTTAAAAAGGACCACTCTGGAAGGATGGGAGGTGGTATCTTCTCTGGGAGGATTTAAACTTTATTTCATCCTTCCCTGGAGCAGCCCTGACCCCTCTCTACTTACATATTTGTACTCAGCACTAGGAGTGTACCAAACACGTCCCTCAGCAAGTCCACAAGAAGCACTTTGAGGAGGAAAAAGATAAGATTCAAATCCATTTTTCTTCTGCATTGGAAGCATTATAATGCTAGTCTTATTGATGTAGAGGTCTTTGATCTTCATTAATCCTATAAATGGGCACTAGTATTTGTGTATTTTTTATTTGAAAAAAGATTAAGCAACAAAGATCTCTTAAACAGTTGGAATCAGGGGGCACCTGGGTGGCTCAGTCTGTTAAGCATCTGCCTTCCACTCAGGTCATGATCTCAGGGTCCTGAGATAGAGCCCTTGCGTTGGGCTCCCTACTCAGCGGGGCAGTCTGCTTGTCCCTTTCCCTCTGCCCCTCCCCCCGCTCATGCTCGCTCTCTCTCTCCCTCTGAAATAAATAAATAAAATATTAAAAAAAAAAACACTTGGAGTCAGATCCAAACCTACCACTCTTCATTTTACTTTAAAAATCTTATTTCAGAACTTATTTCTTGACAAGATGTCACTACCTTTTAACTCTAAAAATACGGGAGTCAATTGGAATTTGGAACTCCCACTTCATCAAAATAGCACATGCATCTATTTTTGAAAAAAAAATTTTGTATCTTTAAGGGCAGTGATTCAGCCGTTGCCTTCTTAGAAGAGAGAACAATCACATTTCAGCTTTGCTTTCCACGACTGCCCCCCCCGCCCGCCTCCTTCTCCTCTTCCATCTCTGCTATATAGAAGTGCTGAAAGACTATGACGTTGGTCATTGATACGAAGTAGAAACTTCGTTCTCTGCTGTAAAGAAATGAAGCCAAGTGTTGGTTCATCCCACCAGTCCTGGTAGAGCCCTGAAATTAGATGGTGGAAACAGAGATTCATCTGCATAAAACAGTTTTCTTTTCCCTCCTCTTCTGATAAAGAGAACCTCCCTCTCCTATGGCAAACAGGAAACCAATTGCCCTGTTCAGGGATGAGGAGGTCAGTCATCAAACCTTGGTCAGTGAGGGTCATTCCTAGTACTTGTGCTGCACTTTTTCTCTGTGAAGTTATTTAAGCTTGAAAGCAGGATGTCTTTCCTTGGAGCCCTGTAGGACACCATCTCTTTTACCAGGGGAAAACAAATTTCAGAAATTAAAGCCAGCCCAGGGTGAAGCAGAATTTGAGACATGGAAAAAAGGAGAGGAGGGGCACCTGGGTGGCTCAGTCATTAAGTGTCTGCCTTCGGCTCAGGTCATGATCCCGGGGTCCTGGGATCGAGCCCCGCACCGGGCTCCCTGCTCAGCGGGAAGCCTGCTTCTCCCTCTCCCACTCCCCCTGCTTGTGTTCCCTGCTCTCGCTGTGTCTCTCTCTGTCAAATAAATAAATAAATAAATCTTAAAAAAAAAAAAAAAGAAGGAGAAGAGATTGGGGGTGGGGAGGGATGAAGGAAGAATGAAAGAAGAGAGAGAGAGATGGTGAGGAAGAAAGAGAGCAAGGAGCAAGTTCTGTGAACATTGACACCAGGGCCCTCCATCTCTGAAATCTGCATTCTTCTGGACTCTTCAGTTAACAGGCCCAAAGACAGTCCTGTTTTTCTTTAGCCCCATGAGGTCATCATTCCATCACTGTGAGAAATAATCCTTGTATTTGTCAATTATACCTTAATAACGCTGGGGGCTGGGGGGGAATATGATTTATAATTTTTAATAAGAAAATTAAAAATGGCATCAATGGTAAATATATATATATATATAATTGGAAGATTTTATTTATCTGAGCGAGAGAGAGCATGAGCAGGGGGAGAGGGACAAGCAGACTCCCTGCTGAGTGGGATACCCCACACAGGGCTCAATCTCAGAACCCTGAGATCATGACCTGAGCCAAAGTCAGATGCTTAACTGACTGAGTCACCCAGGCGCTCCTATATATTTTTGAATAAACATCCTGATGAACATCATCACTTTATGTGTCTAATCAGATAAAAGAAGCAGCTAAGCTCTATAGCAGCCTTCCTTGCCTTGACATTTGAACACGACTTTGACAGGGCAGAAGATGGGGATGCAAAATCAAAATTGGAACTCAGTTTGCCTGGGTGGCTCAGTTGGTTAAGTGTCCAACTGTTGGTTTCGACTTGTGTCCTGATCTCAGGGTTTTGGGATTGAGTCCCACGTGGAGCTCCACGCTCAGTGGAGAGTCTGCTTGCGATTCTCTCCCTCCCTCTGCCTCTCCTTCCCCCCCACCATGCTCTCTCTCTCTCAAATAAATAAATAAATCTTTTTAAAAAAAATTGGAACTCAGTTACAATCCTTCTGTCTAGGGCTTGTGATACAGAGAATTCCAGAAAAGTGAAGTTGACTTTGGTGCTAGTTTCTCCTCAGTGTGTTCTGCCCCCCCATAAAAACAGTTTCTCCCTGCTCACGTGCAAGGGAGAGAAAAGTCAGCTGGTATGTTTTATTAATGTGTAAAGGTTATTGAACTTACATTTTACTCCTCCTAGTGATATAGCTGTATTTCATAAGGGTTAACATCAATTTGTAATCTGAAGAAATGGTTGTCTCATAGTGAAATTATAAGGACTGTAGTGTGTGTAGGAGAACTAC